CTGCAGCCCTGGCCATGGTCAAGACTCCCATCCAAGTAGACACTATCCTTCTAGTACCTGTGTTCCACACCTACAGAGGATCGCAATCTACACTTGCTGGCACTGCATGCAGCAGATGAACCAGCACATGCTCTAACACAGTTTGGGTGATGAAAGAAACTGGCAACAGCTACAGAAGAACAGTTCTGGCTGTCTTGGGATGATGTGCCCACCCACAAGGAAGAGAAGGTGTACAAACACTGTTCCACTCAGGTAAAGGCAAGCTGCTCACCTCCTCACAAATTCCAAAATAAAGACTTAGCTTCTTAAAGAACTTCTCTTCCCTCCCCCCACTATCTTCCCTGTGCTACCCAGTCTTTACCAATAGCTTCCCCACTCTCCACTAGGAGTCTCATAAGCTTGGAGTCTTGTAAGAATGCCCTGCAAAGCAGACTTGCATAGGAGGAGCTGAGAGGGTCAGCAGCCCCCTGGCCACATTCATTCAGCAACAAATGCCTTTTAAGAGCTCCATCACCTCCACAGCCCCTGGGCTTTGTCCCACAACTGGTTCTCCCTGCGCCTGCACTACTGGTGCCTCCTACCAAATCTTTAAGAAACTGATAGCAAGGGGTAGGGAGATTGGGGAGGGATAACATTAGGAGAAATATTTAATGTAGGTGGGTGGGGGGATGGAGGCAGCAAACCACTATGGCATGTGTATACCTATGTAACAATCATGCAAGATCTGCACATGTACCCCAGAACTTAAAGTATATATATTTTAAAAAAAAGAGGCTGAGCATCAAAATAAATATTGAGAGTAATGGATTGTAGTCCATTGAATAAAACAGGAATCCATGAATCCAAGTTGGTACACTAAATAACTATATAAGGGAAAAAGAAAAGCTCTTTGTCCTTTATAAGCTCTGTCCTTCTATTACAAATGGAGAAGTACTAACTTCACAGTGGAAGACACCATCTTGGATCGAAGTGAACCTCATCAGTAACAGGACAAATGTACGTGGTGTGCCTCCTGCTGTACCAAACTGAGGACAGACACATCACCTCTGGAGCACTTCTGTCAGGAATGCAAAAAGTGAGTCTCATCATGTAGAAACAACAGATAAATCAAATTCAGGGAATCTGTAAATTACAACTGCCGTGATCCTTAAAAAATGTCACTGTCATAAAAGACAAAGACAGAGGAACAGTTCCAGATTAACAGAGCCAGAGCTAATACACCTAAATTCAATGCGTAATCCTACATTGGCTCGAGTCAGAAAATATGGTTTTTTTTTTTTTTTCCCTGAGAAGGACATTGTTGGGACAATTGGTAAAATTCGAATAAGGTACATAGATCAGATAATAGTTCTGTAACACTATTTGCCAATTTTGATAATTACACTGTGGTTGCATAAGGGATTACTCCTATTTTTGGGAAATACACACTGAAGTATCATGTCTGCAGCTTATTCTGAAATAAATTGTGCACGTGTGCAAAGAGGGAAAACATTAAAACAAATGGGGCAGATATAAAAGGGTGGTTCTTTGTGTAATTCTTGCAACGTTTTTGTAAGTCTGAAATTATTTCAAAATAAAATTACCAAAATCCTCTGTAGTAGTAAAACTCCAACTGAATAGAGGAGTCAGGTCATTCAGCCAGGCAGGGTCATCTGGGAATGGCACAGCATCAGAAGAGAAGAGGGGACATGCACTGGGACTTTGCGCTCACCTGTGCCTCTCTCACCTCCTCCTTCAAGGATTCAGCCTCCACAGCTCCGTCTCAAATGCTTCCCCACTGCCCTTAAGTGGACTGAATACATGACAACTACACGACAACTTCCTCTATTTCTCTAACTGGAAAAACGGGAAAATATCCTGTCAGGCTTCGCAAGGCTCATGGTAATAAAAGACTAACACTTTAGACAAGGCATTGTAATAGCATTAAGCAAATAAAGACAGTCAATATTTAAAAGGCTAATATTCATCCTAAAGCAGCGTAGTGAGGTACACTGGCTTGCCAAGAGAAGATAATTCCCTTGTGAAGACAGCAGGTAATCTGAATTCATTATTTCCCAAAACAGCCTCCCATTTCCTCCCCGGATTTCTGCCCCCAATATTTAACACTGGACCATTAAGTGTGATTCCAGACAATGGACTGTCTTAAATTTAACAAGTATCAAGACGGGTGTCTGTGGCTTTGAAGGTCACTGTGTCACTATCCAGAGTATTATCCAGTGTTTTGAATAATTTACAAAATCTGAATATATTTGTCTTTTTTTCAGAAAAATTGGGTTATAACCTAGAATCTCTACCTACTCCTTCCACCCAATATCCCAGCATACTAAGAAGGCTTAAGTCCTTTAATTATTTGTGACTGTATTTTTGCATTGAATTATTTAAGATAGGCAAAATAAGATGGACAATGACAAAATCTCATAAATACTGCAATCAGCCAAATTTATTTTACCACCAAAAGCATGGGAACAATACGTTGCATCTCATTGGATACACAGACATGACCATCTTAACCATACACTTGAACATTAAACTGTGAAATGACATTGGGAGAAGAGAAGTCAGGAGGCAGGCTATGAACCTGTTAGGTGCTGCCATTGCATCCTCAACAGAGAGGCAAGGTAACAAAGACAACCCGGCAGCCTAGGTTTCATTGGCATGTGACTCAAACTATTCCCCACCTTGACAGCCTTCGCAAGGGGATGGCTGGGGACTGGGAGGCACTCTAGTCCCCATGTGAGACTTAGCCCATGTCTTGTCACTGATCACTCATGGAGGCCATGAAGGAGGTGTACCCACAAGGTCCATCTGGGCAGGACCACAGGAAAGCCTTGTGGAGTCATGCATTCATATTGCATGGTTTAAACAGAAACTTGTATAATATCCTTAAACACATCCAGCCCTGTGGTCAAAATCACTAATAGAATCCCCGAGAATGTGCGAGCTCATCTCAGTACCCAGAGCTCCTGGCAGCAGGGAGACACTGTGGGCACCAGGCAAGGCCTACTGCAGCCTGGATCTCAGGCAGCCCCATCTAAGGCAGATCCTGCCCCAAAGGTGTCTACAAAGCCCCTTCCAGACGGGAAGAAAACAGGACAAGGGGATAGTCAGTTTATAGTCCAGGTTTGGAGGTGTTTCCACACCCATCAGAAATGATCTGTCCTGTTGGATTTTGGACGCAATCCCAGAATCGGGACTTGAGTGTATTCACTTGCTCTCTTAAAGGGACCCATTTCCTCCCCACCTCCATCCTCAATACACTGTTGTCCCACTTCTCACCAATTCTTTCTAGTCAACCAAGAGACAGCCACATCCAGTCACATACAGGAACACCGAAATCCCTTTAGGAAAACCAAGGCAGAGGAACTGGAGGGAAGGGTAACTTCAGTGACATTATAAAACCAACCAAACTTGCAAAAAAAATTACCATTTCGGATACAGGCTGGAAAGGAACATACGTTCGGTGAACTGGTTTATGTCAGGTGGAGGATGCCAAGAGTTTTGCCAGCTAAAGACAATATTTTAAGAAATTCTTAAGCCCATCAATGTCACATTCCCATTTTACAACAGAATCATTACTACAGCACACTCCTCAAACACACACCTCCACAGAAAGGTAGGAAAATCTGATGTGTATTTTAAAACATCCTTGCCTCTTACAGAAATTCCATACTGAAGAATTGACTCTTTTGTAACAGGAAAATGTCTCTATATTTGTCTAAAAAACATTGTACACAGACAGAAAAATAATAATTCAAAGGTAAAATCCATTTACATAGCAACAGTTAACTAAGCATGACCTCCCCCAGAAAACAGATTAAAAAAAAAAATCTTTAAGAGGTACTTAAGTGAAACAACAATGTTCAGAAAAAAAAATAGAGCTAGAAGAGAAGTGCTAAGAATTAATGATATTAACAATTGTAACACTGTCCACAAAATAAGAATTAGTGTCTTCCTTTTGGATGAATCAACTGAGATACCTTTATATGAGGTGTTTAAAACTCTGTGAACAAGTAAATTATACTATATCACACATTTGCTAGTAGTGTGCCCTTTAGCGGAAGTAGTCACAGCTGTTTCTAATGGTACTCACTCCTGGAGTTAACGCCTACACATTTAAAAATGTCTCCCATGTGAAAAAGGTGTCCAAATGATCACCTATATTGCCCCCAGGTAAAACAAACACAAAAAACACTGCTTCTACTTCTAACTACAGAAGATGACAGAGGCTAAAATGTTTTAAAAATCAAGAAAATAGCTAAAAATAAGTGGCAGTCAATTATCCACAATATAGTTTTTACAGCCCAAATTACAGGCTATTGATTAGTGGCCTTCTAATATATTACAATAACTAAATGTCCAACGACAGCAATGGCTCTGCAAGGGCAATGGCTCCCTGCTCTTACCCGGGTCGCCCTGCAAATTGCAGGAGAGTGTTTTACATGAGTGCTGGCATCGCTCCTGTGCGCTAAGTAACAAAAGATGTTTTTTAAAAATTTCTTTTAACTTTGACGTAAACTGCACAAGGGAAGTACAAAAACACACTACATGGATTGAAACCTATGTAAATAATATTTAGGTGGGACTCCCTCAAAGCCTATAAATAATCCCTTTTTTAGCATTGTTTTAAAGTCTGCCCTCATAAAATTCCTTTGCTGCCTCCTACTGTATTTTATTTAAGTGTCATTACTTAAACTCAGCCATAAAACAAATGAAAAATGGGAAAGGAGAAACAATGAAAGACCACAACTAGGCAACAGTATTCATTTCCAGAATTAGCATGTAGTTATGACAAGTCACTTTGTCTTTTTTTAAAAAAATACAGTGTGGAGGGGGAGGGGTGAGCAGAAAGGGGGTAAAGAAAATATCATTACCCTCCTTGGATAATAAGCGTTAAACTCGTCTCCGATACGCCGCAACTCTTGGGCGATCCATATCTCCGGGCGCATACCTGCAGGTTCAGCCTGAGATTGCCTCATGGAAGCTGCATCAGAACAAACAAAACAAAAATCACTTTGTGGTTCATGGATCACTCGGAAAGTTCCAAAGATAAGCCTCTATAGTAGAAGCAAGCCTATTTCACACACTCTTTCATGTTTCTGGGAGCTCCCTTACTGTAAAAACTACAGCCATCTATTAAAGATCAGAGTAGCACTACATAACTTTAGTTAAATAATAAGAGATATAGAATAATTTCCTTTTTCAAAACTGGAGATTCAGAATTGCAAGAACTGAAAGCATCCCTACCCATTCATACACATTTCCATTTCAAGAAGATACTCAAAAAAAAAAAAAAAAAAAAAAAAAAAAAAAAAGGAAAATACTGCCAAAGAAATGTGCCTGAAACATAATTAGAGCATAACAATTTGGCTTTTCAGTAAAATGACCATTCTGATCTTATTACAAGGTAAAAATTGCTACGTAACTTTCAAACATCACAGAAAAATATGAGGTAAAATGGTTGCCCCATTCAAAGCAAAATAAGTGAAACTCTAAGAAACCTGAATGAGATGGTTTTTATTAAAGTACGACGTACAATGATACAGACAGCTGTCTTCAGGAGGGTTACCCCAGGGCCAAATGAAAGCGTAATTGCATGTTTTGTCTCAATATTAATGCAGCCAATCAAGATGGGCTCAAGTCTGCAAACACCACATGGAGAGAAAAAATGTTTTGGGGTCTAAGAGCAAAGGCATTTTTGAAAGGAGAAGAAAGAGGGGGGACTGCCCTTTCATTAAGCTGTCACTAACATTCACACCCAGTACATTCATCTGTTTACTAATGAAACCATTAAAAGCCATGTGACAGCCAAAAACGAAGGAGAACACAAATGTGAGTTGTCAAAGATCCCATTATGCATTAGAAAGATTATATTCTCCATGTGCCACCAGGAAAGCATTATACTCAGAGGCGAACAGTTCAGTAACATGTGTACAGGAAAAGAGATAAGATTTTTGGATTTTCACTGCTAGTCACGTGTGACTTATGCTAACTTACTATAAAAATGGGCATACTGTACTCACAATTAAAATACGTATTACGTTTTTGCCAGAACAAAACATGTAAAAACCTACGATAATAGGATTTTGTAATGGTATGAACATAACTTCCTGTTTTTTATTTTTGTAAAAGGCTGGTAAAACTGATACTGATTCACAGCTCTATAAAAGCACTTAAAAGTGAACACTTTGAAGAGTTTTTGCCAATTCCTCTAAAAACCCTTGCCTCGTCTTCTCTGTTCCCCAGCCCCTACCCAACTGAATTTAACAATAATCCCACAAAGACTGAGGGCCTAAGAGAGGCAGAATATCACACCACCCTGTGGGGGTGGTGGAGAAGAGTGGGGGACACACACCGATCCCCTCCAGAGTTATCTGCACTCTGTGAATAAGCCAGAGGGAGGAACGGCTATAAGAAGCCCTGGTGGAGAAACGCAAAGGCTGATGAAAGGCAAACTTTTGATGTCAGGCACAGCCTCTGAATACATCCAATCATATAAAATTTACTTTGATTGTACTAACAAATCTATAAAAGGTCTTAAAATTAATTTTGAGCAACTAAACTGGGAGAAAACAAAATTTCTGGGTAGATGCGATACCAGGTGATGCTAACGTCATAGATCCTTTTCCTGGGCTTACAGTCCTTTAAAGAGTTACTGTTTTTAAGTTTTCTTTCCTGATTTAGAAGCTTTTAAACAAGTTAATTCACCCTTAGGGGAAGAAGAAAAGTTTTTGTTTGGGCACCCACTGCACAAGGGTCTCATGCAATCCTCCTAAAGGAGATGCACCTACCCATATGCACAGGTGAACATCCAGCCAGCAAGACATCATCACCCACCTCTCCTGAGCTTCAGGCTCCACCTGTTTGTCACTACACATGACTGAGAGAGAAAACTGCCTTCAGCCCTGGGGTCAGAAGTGAGGAAAATGCCAATTATCAAAAGGACATCTGTGAAATATAGATGGATGTTTTATAAAGTTGGCAGACTGGTAAAAATTGCTGGCCAAGTTACCCAATACTTAATAAATCAATGATAGTCACAAAACCACTCAACAAACACAAACACTCACATGCCAGACACTGTTCTAGGAGGTGCTCTGGGTACAGCATCAGAGGAGGCCATGTCCTGCTTCCATGGGGCTTACATTCTTGTGGGTTAACTGCTTGATTTCAACTAACTGCAAAATTTCTTTTGGACAAGGAGACATACTTTATACTTTTCATAAGACAAAACAAATATAACTCCCCCCATCAATTTCTCCCAACTTGTAGATGAAGTCCACTGGATTCCCTTTAACACCTTGACTTGTGTCTGTGGTTTAGAAGGTCCCACATGGCTTGTGCTTGGGCTGGCAACTGCAAACACCACCAAACACCATCAAAGGGGCAGTCTCTGTCAGAAGCCAACCTATCAAAACTAGCACTTAGTGAATGCATTCAACCTAGCAAACAGCAAGGAGATAAATAAGGAACCCTGGTGGACAATTTTAACTTCTATGTTAAGAGATAAATGTCCTGCTAGCTTTCGGGGACGCAAATAAGCAAATGGCCTGTTTCTTTTACAAAAGGAAAAGTTCAGTAGCTAAATTTAATTAGCTTAAATAAATTCAGAGATATAAATACATTCCTAAGCTCTGGTAGAGAGAAACGGAGGGTGTGAGGGTATGTGCTGGGGCAGGAGGTTACAAGAGAAGGCTGTACTCTTGTAAGTTACTAACCAACTCTGGTGCGGATGGTTTCCCAACCAGACCCTAGTGGGCAAAAGGTAAGAAACCATGGCAATGCCCTGGAGCCCTGAGATTTATCTTTAGCATTTAAGAGTTAGGAGAGTTGTATTAACCAAAGATAATGGTTTAGAGACAAGGCTTATGCTGGAATTGCATATACTGGAATTGGCAATAGCTACAGATTACTAAGACAGCTATCAACTGTACTTAGGTGTAGTTTTAAAAAGTTATTATGGAAATATAAATTACATTTTGCAAAAGAGACTGACCTGTTGGGGCTACTCTAACAAGCACCTATCATTATTTTTTTAAAAAACCAGTTTGTTTTTTTGAGAATACAAATACAGTTCTTATTCCTTGAATGTATAAAGCTAAAAGTAAGGGCAAACACTCATCCTGCAGTAAGACCTAGCTAGTATGCACACAGCAGTATATGGTTATGAAGATTAAATGACAAAAACCCTATTTTTACTATTTTAAAAGGAATCTTATTCTGCTATTTTAAAAAGGTAGTTTTAATCCATTAATACAGTGCAACATAAAGTTCAATTATTTCTTAAGTGACAAAATGCCTTCTTCGAGGATAAAGAAAGCCTCTCCTTAACTTCATCGCTAATTTAATGTCAATGAGAGTTGTGTTTGGTCTCATACCAGATGACATCTACCAGGACAAATGAATGGGGTCTGTCAGCCCCCCAGTGGCACCAAGCAGCACCAAAATTAAGGTTTTTATTTACGTTAGCATCAGTTTGCTTTGCCACCACGATGGCAAAGCAATCCATCAGTATGGTCTTCCAAAAGTGTGCCTGGAGTCCGTGGGGTATGGGATACAGCAATTTCCAAACATTTGCTGCTCCACCCTCACCCCTGTAATCCCACCTGGATACTCAACCCAATTCCTACCATCCTAACATAGTCGAGGTATCAAAAAGATAACTTAGGTTAACATTTCTAGTTTCTAAGAAAAGTAAGTACCAAGCATAAATATTTTATTATCTGCAATGTGACCACTGTAAATGTTGATATCTGGTCAATAAAATGGCTTTATTTGAAATGAAAGCTTCTACTCTGTAGGGAGATCAAATTTTTAACTTGGTAATTTTATGTGAACATGATAAAATTCTTCAAAGGGGAAATTCTGATGAGGTGCATTTTTATCCACAGAAAATGTAGTTTCAGCATTTATGAAAGCATTTCACTCCATAAACCTGGCATTATTTTTTTTTAAAGCACAATAAAATGTAAACTGCTCTTGAGGTAAAGCGATGCCAAAGCTATAATCTGCAGCACAAGTGCCAACCCTGCAAGAAGCAGACTCGGGCAGAGGGGACTTCCTTGGTAGATCCACATTGTCCTTCTCTTTACTTGTATTAAAAAAAAAAAAAAAAAAAAAAGGCTAATCAAAACTTTTATAATGCAACATGTCAGACACAAGCAATTTTTGCCAAAAGTGTGATACGTCCACTGAATCTTCACACTTCTTAGAAATGATTTTTGAAGTCCAGAGCTTACTGGTAACATTATTCCCTATGAGAAAATACCATGAAGTATATACTTAATCCATTTTTGGAGGAGGGGGGTGGGTATTTTCCAACACCAAGGAACTTTAGTTCTACTCAAAGATTCATGTTTCTTAACAAACTATTCTGGTTCAGCAACAATTTCCAAACTCTAATTTAAAATCTTAAAAGTTCAACAACTGAAAAATTAATACTGTGGTTAAATGGTTGATAGTGAAATCAGGCTGGGGCTTTCACAGAGGACTTTCTGTAGTGCCAGCAGCCAAGGCGGGAAAATTTTTTTTTTAACGAGAGACTGTCAATTCATAACGAGCTCAGTATCAGTCAGGCTAAACCTTCTGATTTCTCTTTAATGTCCAAGAGATTGTACGTCAAGAGCCTCTACCCTAGTGAAGGAACTGAAGTCTCATCATGACATTCTCGTTCCAAAACACAGCTGTTCTCTGTGATGATGCTGTAAAGTGACATCTAATGACTCAGGCATGTGTACTGGGAGGCTGGGCATATCACACACAAGCATTCTCAACTGCAGCCTCAGTCTGGGAACAAGGTTTGTACAACTCTCATTTCTGAGGGGCAGCTGCTGTTTTAGTTCCCATCTTATCATTAATGGAGTTTCAAGTGTAGCACCAGAAACCAAATTAAAATTCACAGGAACACTTCACTCTGCACTGTTTTCAGATGTTCAGATATCTACAAACACTCGGGTAGAATCAAGATTAGATTTTCAAGTAATCAGCATGAATTAAGCTTTGAATCAATATTCAACTCAGAACTGAGAGAGGATTTTATACACATAATAGAACATACTTAGCCAAAAACTGCATGTTCTGTCCGGCACTTGTGGGAAACAGCCAAGCACAGCCGGGAACTGCAGGGCTGTGAGGAGAGAGAAGGCCTGTCCTTTAGACATGCAGGGCTGTCCACCTTTACTCTCTGGAGAGATTCTGCTTTAACCACCAAAAGCAATAAAGGATCCTGTAAAGGGCCATTTCTTTGTGGACTCTGAAACCAGCTTTAAACCAATTCCACTAGATACTCCAAAAATGTTTAGAGGAGACACTGTCTCTGTCTGCAGGTGGGCTTTCTGAAGCTGGCATTCATTTAGAGAAAGAAAAATTCTAGGATGTTTATTCAACACTGTTAAGTCTCCTACTTTAAGTATTTTCAGAAATATCTTTCTACATTCAGAGTTATTCAAAGCTTACAGGAGGAGGGAAGCAACAGACCAGTCCACTAATGTTTCCTTATGAAACCCACCTGAGTGATGGAGCTGTTTCTAGGCCCAGTCAGCTACAAGGCAAAAGAGCGCAACTGCCATCAGTATTTGTGGTAAATGCTATCAGAATCATGTGTTTGAAATCCTCAACTCTGATGGTTCTCAGAAATAAAATAAGCAAGAAACCAATGACACACACACACATACACCTCCCTCCAGGTCTATTTCTCACTTGCATCATTTTATTTTTTGGCAATCCCAATCAATTCCACTGAGACACTGGATGAAAAGAAAAGCCATGAGAAATAAAGTAACAGCATTAGTACTCAAAGTTTCCTCAATCTGTCACCCTGGAACATATTTGTGTCAAGCCTGGGCAGTCATATGAATTCAAGATGGTGCTTTAAAAACAGCTGTTAGGATAAAATACTATCAATAATAAAGTTTATGAGATGAGGCCAGTGTTTTCGTATTTATTCCTTCAACGTGCACTGCCCATTGCCTTTATGTGGCCATGGTCAAAAGAAACTGACTTCATCAATTTCCAGCCTCACCATTTCGAAACTGCCAGTAAACCAATGCTGTGAAGTTGGACAGAAGTCTGGAAACTAGTTTTCATGAGAGTTTTCCCTCTTTCACTATTATCTGTCTCTTATAATAAAAGTCCAAGTCTAAAGACATTAAAATATATTATGCCTTTTTACTCATTTCTCATTCAACATCAGAAGAACTAATTATCTATGTCACCAGAGCTGTCCCCGACACACACATTAACATATTTACTAGCAGCCAGGAGCAAACCCAGACTGAGTTGTAATCCCTATATTCAAGGACATTCCCAGCTGAGTCATGACAACATCTTCCACCATGTGGGAGACCTGGGCAGGAGCCCTCTGCGAATCCCAGCCTATGTGCCTACTTCCTGGGACAGATGCGCATTTCCTAAGGCACTGCTGTCCTCCCTGAAGAACACTGAGTGCTACAAAGTTACTCCTCATAGAAAATCTTGATTCTGCCCTGCAACTATAAAAAGGAAATCTATGATCCCTCTTAATCACCACCCCACTTTTTGTCAATGAACCTGCACCAAATCTGGTCCTAAACAAGTTCCTTCCATGAGCCTTTTAGGACATCCCCTGGGAAGAACCTTGACCACCTGGCCCGCCTTGGTGTGCTCCTGAAATCGCTGCTCTGGATAGTGTGTGACAGTGTTCTCTCCGAGAAGGACACAGGACACTGGATACTGCTACTGCTCCTTAATTTTTCTACACTGACCTTCGTCCTAGTAAGTCTCTGGGACAGCTACAGGTCCATTTCTATAGCTTTAGATTACTTTCAGGAGATTAAAAGTATCTGTGCCATTTCATTCTGAAAACCAAAAATAACCCCCAAACTAAGGACAACTAAATGAAGCCCAACCCTGAACTTACTTTAGTGCAAAAACACAAACTCCTATATTTATTCTACTGACAATGTAAATTATCCAGTATATTTCTCCACAAGAAGAAAAATGCTTTAGGGACCTTTTAAAAGTAAAGATACAACTCTATATACATTGACTCACTTAAGACCATTCCTTAGAATTAAAATGCTTAATTTGAAGTTACTGTAGTTGTTTCTAGTCAAAAAACCAGATCTGGGCAAGAGGGGAGGGAGATGGGAATTTAAACTACAAATATAAGTTTCTGATGACACAATAAGTGTGGCTTCCTCTACGTAATTTAAAACCAGTAGCAGGAAATTGGTCACGAGCATCTTTTCTCCTAAACCTACATTAAGGTCTCAGGTATTACTGTTTTCATCTCCATGATAGGGAAGACCAAGACACAGGTCAAAAATAAGAGCAAAAACAAAATCCTAAAAAGCTACGCCTTAAACAGTTTTTAAAATAAAACATGGAAAAGCCTATCGATTTTATTTACACGGTTAAAATTTTCAATGGCTATATACAAAGTGAAGTACAATTTAACAGATATATGGCGATCAATAACACACCTCAGGGCTGAGACATAAATAAAAGCTTCTCACTTAAAGTCACAAAAGGCAGCTGCTTCTTTTTATCCCATTTTGAATAAAAACAAAAACTTTTCACCTGGATTTTGCTAACCACTCAACTGGCCACTGAACCTCCCTACGAAGGGCAATTCCAAGGGAGGATCCAGTGGCCTCATCTGTAAACCATAAAAATGTTGAATAAGTAAATTGTGCCCAGACAGATGACCTCTCTCATGACAAAAGAAAAGGAACAGGAGGTCTCCATTAGCGCACGTGCAAGTTAAGGATGTATAGAATTATGTGCTGAAAGGCTCTGTGTTCTGGTGCTTTTGAAGGTCTCCCCAGTGTCTGGGTTCACATATTCTTCCTGCTCCTCCCTGATGCCCCTCACTTGCCAGGGCAGACATGACTACTGACCAGTGAGTCTGTATTCTAGGTGAGAAACAGACTCTGGCGGTGGCTCATGCCTGTAATCCTAGCACTTTGGGAGGCTGAGGCAGGCAGATCACTTGAGGTCAGGAGTTCGAGACCAGCCTGGCCAACATGGTGAAATACTCATCTCTACTAAAAAAATACAAAAATTAGCTGGGCGTGGTGGTACCTGCCTGTAATCCCAGCTACTTGGGAGGCTGAGGCAGGAGAATCCCGTGAAGAGGCAGAGGTTGCAGTGCACCAAAATCGCACCATTGCACTCCAGCCTGGCCAACAAAAGTGAAACTCCCATCTCAGAAGAAGAAGAGGCGGGATTGTTCTAACTCAGTGCAAGCCAGTTCCCCACTGGCATCAACTCCCTACACTGCTATGACCATTGCAAAGGGCCATGGCCCTAATACCCTGACATTTCCAAGCAGGCTGAGGCATTTGCCCCAGGGCTGTTAACAGGCCAGTGGGAGGACCAAACTGGGGTGGGTCACCTGCTGGAACCTCCCACTCCATACCTCACACTACACTATGAGAAAGAGGAGCAGAGGAACACAAAGGTGAGTCAACACCATGTACTGCATATGCCAGGCTTTCTTTGGAGAGAACAGAGTTCTAAGCTTCAAATGAGCACACTGGTGAAATCCAAGTGAAAAGAGAAGGAACTGCTAGCACTCATAACACTGCATTAAACACCACTTAGATTCTCTTTAAATCAACAAATACTGCACTCCTGCTATGTACCAAAGTTTTTCTTAAGTTGGTAAGTTGTTTTGACTAATTTAGAATTTATGCTCAAGTATCAGTAGTATTGAGGTATAAACTCATATACTAACATTGTTATCTATTCAGAATTCACTACTAGACTACTTTAGATTTACGCATTTCTCAAGGGACCAAATAACAGACAAATTAACAAGAAAATAAACTTTTAGTCTTTTCTCCAGCACACTTAACCCACAGCAAAGTAACTCACTAACAAAATCAGGTTATCAAGCTTGGCTCACCTCAGGCACTTTCACAGGCGCATGTGCCTAACAGAAAAACAGATTCCATCCACTTAAGCTGCCTTCTTTTAAAAAAAGTATCAAATCACTCCTATAAATTGCTAATAGTAAAATGTTTTAGGAACTGGAATGGGAAGTATGCGATGACGCAGGAATACAATATATTTTGGGGGGGAAAAGGCCCCAAGGTAATTCAAATAGTTGAAATCCTTACATTGAACGTGTTTCCATTTAACACACATACTCTTATCAGATTGAAATGGTTGATACTATTTTTTTTTTCTAATTTAAGCTTCAAAACCATTTCACTCCTAAGCAAGGGAAGTCCAAACCAAACCAAGCATTATGTACTGTGCAGAGGGCTGTCTGCCAGCACCAAAGACCCGAGTTCAAGCTGGGGCTCCAACACTAAGCACAGCCCAGACTCAAGCCCAAATCCCCAAGTTCAGTTTCCTCACTCTGAAAACAATGTCAAGTCCCCACGCTAAGGTCTGCAGACACAGCCCATGCAGTCAACTGGCTGGCACTGTGAACGCAGATGTGTGACTGAAAGGGAGACACGCTCCATGGGAAGCCCTTACTCCTGCCTCGTGGTTCATACAAAGGGCAGAACAGGAGAGCTGCCTGCCAGGAGGCCTGTCTCAGGGCTATTTCTTGCCATACCTGTCTTGGCAAAGCACAACTCTACTTGCCAACCTTGTGGATCTGGTCCAAGGCAGGAAAGAGAAAATACAAAGAGAATTTTGGTTCCCAGAGGACACTGGGGATACCAATTCATTCTAGGCAAATACTTAAAACCACAATGGCCTGGCCTCTTAAAAAGAGGGGTTAAACTGGGTAAATGTTGTTTATACTGACTATTTACTTCCGCTACCTCATAGCATGTGAACAAAGGTTACGAAGAAGGATCCATAAATCACTCACTTAGAAATACCAAAATTTTGATTATCGATGGCCAATCGTCTGTCTAAATTGTCTTCTCACTAAAGGAGTTTAATTATCTCAGGGAAAAGAAGGAAAAAGCAGTTGTAAAAGTCTTGATCTCAGTCACACGATGAACATTGCTAATGTTAAATCAATGAGCAACCAATGTACCCCTTATTTTGGGAAAAAGTTACATAACTTTGGATTGCAAAAAAAAGTAGTTGTCTATTTCTCATGTCTCAAGACACATTTTTTGTTTTTATTTTATTTTTTCAGATGGGGTCTTGCTCTGTTGCCCAGGTTAGAGTGCAATGGTGCGATCTCGGCTTACTGCAACCTTTGCCTCATGAGTTCAAGCGATTCTCCTACCTCAGCCTCCCAGGATTACAGGTGCCTGCCACAGCGCCCAGCTAATTTTTGTATTTTTAGTAGAGACGGGGTTTCCCCATCTTGGCCAGGCTGGTCTCGAACTCCTAACCTTGTGATCCACCCACCTCAGCCTCCCAAAGTGCTGGGATTACAGGCGTGAGCCACCGCACCCGGCCTGCAAGACACAATTTGAACTATAGTCAAGTTTCTGCCAAACCAAATGAGCCATCTCTGGCAGGTGTCCCCAGCTCAGCCCCAATTCAGACAAAGCTGGGGTGAGGCGGGTTTCCAGATGTCTCAAGGTTCTTCTCAGGATGTCGTTCGGTTCACTGGCAGGTAAGGGCTGATTCAGACCTCCTCTCCCCACCCCCTCCAGGCGGTTTCTAGAAAAGATGTTCTTTTTTGCTTGCTTATTTGTTCTGGGACCCAGGGGATTTGAATTATAGTAACATTTCCAGATGAATTCACTTCCCTGTGAGTTTCCTATACTCCTGGAACGACAGCTCCTTTCCACGGAGAGCAGCAGAGAGCATTTCCTTACAGTCATGCTCACTAACCTACCAGGAATGAGGACTCATTGGGGAGCAAGGAAAGATTCCTTTGCAAGTTTCTACCCGGTGCTTTCTGTTAATTTACTTATGGAAAAACTCCCCGTGACCCTCACAGGTGAGCATTATGTCCGTGCTTGATGGCTGAGGAAGCTGAAGCTCAGACAGACTCACTGATCCACCCAGGACCCATGGAGGGCAGGCAGGACTCAACCCAGAACCTTCCCCGGACCCAAGAGCAACCTGGTGGGGGAGACAGCTACCAAGAGCAACCTGCCAGCACCAAATCTATCCATGATCCCACCGATGGCGATGTTCCCTGATAGATTACTCACTTTGCAAAAAATAAAAAGGCAGACCCCCAAAGAGTAAATCAGGGGCTAATGTTCACCTAGAGTAGTTCAGGTGATGGTGATAATGGGCCCCAAACTTGATCAGCCTGGACGAAATCTTTACCAATGCAAAAGACACAATGGTTAACACTGAATCACACAAGCAAGGCATGCATGCCCGTTGATATGCCTATGAACTTCTTTAATACCAAACTAGACTACCATAAATAATCTTGCAGCTTTTTAAAACTTAATATCGGGCCAGAGGCATTTCCCCCATGCCATTATTCTTTTTAACACCACGAAGACAGCACCAGTCTGGGTGTATGAACAATGCTGTGATGAACCCCCATGCACAAATGTTTCTGCTAACATTTCCTGAAAAAAAAAAAAAAAAAAAGGGAATGTCAGGTCTTCTGCTCTGTGCCTGCAGTGCAGGGTCTGAGAGATATAGGTGGCAGAGCTTACAGCCAGCACAGGACCAAGCCTGTGAGGTCTCAGAGGACATGTGTTTGGCTTGGGCCCACAGTGTGATGAGACCTGCAGAGAAGGAAAGCAGTCTGAAGTCAGCTGCCCCGGCACAAGTCTCAGCCATTGACCGAGCAGTGACCAGAGGTGAACTAGACTAGAAATTTCATCACAGGAGGAATATGGCAAGAGACTGAGGCTGGCCTAACAAAGAAGGAATGGAGACAACTTAATTCAGGTATGGGAAGTGGAGACAGGGGCAGGGAGAGGTGGTGGTTCACCGGGAGTCCCGTGACAGGCAGACCTGGGGTGTGTGGAGACTGGGCCAATGATCAGATTTAATGGTTTTAAAATAGGTCAAGCAGCAAGCCATCAGAATGTACAACATCCAACTGTCAATTACGTGTATATCTCTAAACCTACTACAAGTACCCTAAATATAAAACAAGTCAGAATCTTTAGTAAGAAGTCCCCCTAAAGCATGCAAAATTGGATTTGGGTTACTCAGACGTTTTCAGGAGTGATGTTTGAAAACAGCACGGAGCACACCCTATGGGCACACCATGAGAGTCACACACAGTAGTGTTATAGCAATAGATATTATGGTTATCTTCTGAAAAAGGTGGCCTGGATCATGGCTAAATCTCTTTGCATCATTATAAGTCTATTATTCCACACAGCAAGTAAAAAGAAGGGGTGAAAGAAATAACTTCTAAAATTCATAGCAGTCTTTGTAGCCAGAGCCAATCGATACTGTTATAGTATGAACGTTACATCCCCAAAAACTCTTGCTGAAATCTAACCTTGAAGGTGATGAGTGTCAGGAGGTGGGGCCAATGGAATGGGATTAGTGCTCTCACAAGAGACCCCAGAGATCACCCTTTCTATCACTCGAGTACACAGCCTGAAGGTGCCGTCTAAGTGGCTCTCACCATGCACCAAAGCTGCTTTCATCTTGGACTTAGCCTCCAGAATTGTGAGAAATTAACTTCTGTTGTTATAAGCCACCCAATCTCAGGTATTTCATCGGAGCAGCTTAAAGGGAATAAGACAGGTAGCCACCATAAACACTTTTTAAAGGAAGCAGCAGAGCTCTAGTTCCATTAAGGTGGAGGAGCCATCTCTCCAGGTCCTTCCTCTCTCAACCCAAGACCCAAGACAGAACCCTAGACAAATCTAGTCACAATATAACAAGCAGGCCCAGGAAAACTGAAGGGGGAAAGAGGGCAGGCTGCTGGGGACCTTAGGACTTGAGGGATGACCGACAGGGAGTATGTCATTTTCCTCACTCCCATGTATTCTGGACAGCACGCTGCAGAAGCCTTGGACTGGGCCTCTCCAAGAGGCATAAATAAAAGCTCCAT